AATTGTGCTTGGCTAACAGCCCATTATTTGTTCTATTTATTTTTGCTGGGTGGTATATTCTACATACATTAAAAAAAAAAGAGTAATATGTGCAACGTGTTAAAGCACTTATTAGATTGTGGGATGCTGTTGACGCAAAAAACACAGCTTTCATCTTAAAGGGAACAAGAGATAGTTTATTCTGGAGCCATTTTGAGTGACATGGCCTGAGAACACAGATTTAGGTTACCCCAAATTCTGTATTCCAATGTGGAAGCGATTTGGGACAGGGTCTTATGTTTCTGTGTGACCGAGGTTACTGTGGCACTCATAGAGCCCATTAACCATGTAGCCTCCAACTCATAGTGATCCTTTTGCCTAAGTCACCAGAGTAGGCAGGTTTACAGGCCTGGCTCTTTTCTTTTTCTCTGTTTTTTCAAAGACAGGGTCTTATTGACTATACTGGTCTTAAACTCTATGTAGCTCAGACTTATCTTGAACTTGTGATTTTTCCTGCCTCAGTCTCCGTAGTGCAGGAAATATGGGTATGCGCCACCATACTTGGACCCCTCTCCTTTGTTCTGTATTTTCAGGCATGGTTTTGTTCTACAGCTCCAGCTGGTCTTGAATTGATGATCTTACTGCCTCAGCTGAGTGTTAGAATTTTAGGTGTTGGAATTATTGCTAATGCCCATAGCTACTCCCTCCTGCCCGCATGTTGGGACTCAAGTCTCTTGCATGCTAGGCAGATATCTTACCATTGAGCTATATCTGCAGCCACAGTTCAGAAATGTTGACTTAACGTTCCTTTTCATTTTCGTCATGAAATATTCTCCAGAATATACCAAATAAGCAATCTAATTGCATTTCACTGCCCACCATATATATAAGCCTCGATTTTTGTCTTGCCTAGATTTGGGTAAATCGCCTCTTTGGTGCTCTCCCTCCTTCATCATCTCTTTCCTTCTTTCTTTTTTCTTATACAGCAACAAGAAATCAAAATGTGAGCGAGAACAACTTTCTACTCCAGTTTCCCCAGAATAGGTAACCTTAGAGAGCTATTATCTCTTTGAATGGTGTGAAAAAGTGTTTAAGTTCCAGGAACTGGAGAGGTTAAGGTGAAAGGAGTCCAAAATTATTTCCTGGCATACTAAGTTAAACTCCAAATTCCTTTTTCTAGTCTTTTCTTTCTCACTCTTCTCTGTCTTGTTTTCAATATTTGCCTCCTTACTATCTCTTAAAGAACAGAGCCTAAGGAGATTCCTTCCTTGCCTGAAATAGTCTTCCAGATATATATCTGTTTATTTCTCTCCTTCAGGCATCTACTGGATTTTATTTGTCTGACACGCCTTCTTTTACCTATTTTGAAACAGGAACTCTCCCTGTTGGTGCTGCACTTCTTAGTACTTACTTACTATTGTAAGTCAGAACTCGTGAAAGGCAGCTTTGTCTGCAGGGACTGGCTGATTAGAATTTCAATACTGTAGAGAGGTTGGAATGTTGCAGGCCCAGAGGGTAGCTACCTTATTGTGGATTACTTACCTTATCTTAGACCAGTTTTAGTCATCTGCACCTTGTAGCCACTACCTTCTCCTGTTTGTGCCAGAACTAACATCTTGTGACTAATAAATAAAAACCTTTTGTAATCTATTAACTTAGCTTTCACCAACCAAATGGTAAGAGTGTCATCAAATAGCCTTTAGGGCCTATAGAAAAGCTTCCCTCATCTTGTTGCAACTACCTCTGTGATGTACACAACAATCGATTTTAAACTTGCCTTGATTTATAATTCTTGGTTCTGTAAAACTATAAAACTCCATAAGACTGCTTCTATGTTGGAACATGGAATTTAGGGTAACCTAAATCTATGTTTCCTGGGCCACAGTCACTCAAAATTGCTTCAGAATAAACTATCTCTTATTCCCTTTGAGATGAAAGCTGGGTTGGGTGGGCGGTGGTGGCCCACACCTTTAATCCCAGCAGCTGTGAGCTAGAAGCTAGAGCCAGGCGGATTTCTGTGAGTTTGAGGCCAGCCTGGTCTACACAGCAAGATCCAGGACAGGCACCAAAACTACACAGAGAAACCCTGTCTCGAAAACAAACAAACAAACAAAAAAGATGAAAGCTGCTTTTTTTTCCCTCTTAAGATGAGATTTGCATTTTTTTTTTTTTTTGCATTAATGCTATTTACGTATTGTCTGTGTTATTCCATTAGTGCCAGGACTGTTTCGTCCTGAATGCCTGTGGAACTAAAGTCAGGAATTCAGTCACTGTTCGTTGTATTGTTAGCTGCATTTCCCATTTCAATGACTGCTTCCTCTGCTCAAATACTAAGGCTGCTCCTGTACTTTGGCCAGAAGAAAAGTAATGTTTCATTTCATGTAACAAGTTTGTTTTGACACAGATAGTTTGTGGGCTACTTAGAGTTTTCTGCTGTTATTATTATTATTATTATTATTATTATTTGCTAGTGAAGCATATTAGTCTTGCTTGTTGTTTTGCTGTTTGTTTTTGAGACAGGAGTCCATAGCTGCCTCACCTAGAGTTCGGTATGTAGGACAGGCTGACTTTTGACTTGTGAAAATCCTCTGGCCTTTGCCTCTCAAGTACCAAGATTATAGGTGTGTTCCATCATGCTTGACTAATCTGTTTTCTGAGTAACTTTTCCTTTGTTTAGGATAATTGTTTTCCTTCTCCCAAACAAATCATTTTATGTAAAGACTTTTTAATATTTGATACTTTTTTTCTGTTTTATTTCATTTCTGATTTATTTCATTTGTGTATATATAGTCTACATGTATATAGATGATATATGTACCACATACATTTCTATAGATGGTTGTTAGTCAGTATGCTGGGAATTGAACCAGGTCCTATGTAAGAATAGTAAGTGCTCTTAACTTCTGAGCCTTCTCTCCAGCCCCCTGATATTTCCAGCATGCCTTTCTTTTCAGGGCTTGATAGCTTGCTCAATGGCTAGTGGGAAGTGGCAGCTCAGGAGAGGCCGCTGCTGTATATAGTATGGGTGTTGACAAGGAGATGGAGCAGAGGGTGGCCTATTGAGCCCTATATTGGACAGTCCTTTATTCCCAAAAGTAGGAAACAGACAGAGGCTGCTTCAAGGGGAGGAATATTTGAAGTCACAAAGAGCTTAACTTTTTTGAGAAGCTTAGGGTAAGTACTGTTAGAGGGTAAAAAGTACAGTTGGCTTTCTATAGTTGAGATTTTTGGATCAATGAATTGAAGCAATCAAGGGTTTTCAAAAACTTGTATCTGGTTAAAGATGTAGCTTAGTTGGTAAGAGTACTTGCCCAGAGGCTTTGTGTATGATTCCCAGTACTACCTAAGCCTTGTGTGCATATGCCTTTAATCCTACAATGTGGGAGGTATAGGCATATGGATCAGAAGTTCAAGGTCATTCTCCACTACATAACAAGTTCAAGGGCAGTCAGGGTTATATCAGAGGTCTCAAAAAGAAAAATTGTATCAGCATAAGTTTATTCTTCATGCTTGATACTTTTAGATTAACTTGACACAAGCTAAAGTCATCTGAGAGGAGAGAGCCTCAATTAAGAAAATGCCTCCATAAGATCAGCTGTATACAAGCCAGGAGGGCATTTTCTTAATTAGTGATTGGTGGAGGATGGCCCAGCCCATTGGGAATGTTGTCATCCCTAGGCTGGTTGTCTTGAGTTCTGTAAGAAAGCAGGCTGAGCTCCTCCATGGCTTATGCATTAGCTTCTGCCTCCAGGTTCCTGCCCTGTTTGAAATCCTATCCTGACCTCCTTTGATGATAAACTGTGATGTAGAAGTGTAAGCCAAATAAATCCTTTCCTCCCCAAGTTGCTTTGGTCATGGTGTTTAATCACAACAGTACTAATCCTGAGTGAGATATACTCTAAAAATATAACATCTATTATTGCCTTAACCTTTACATTGTATTAGATAGTATAAGTAACCTGGAAATGATTTAAAGAAGAAAAAAGATATGTGTAGATTTTGTGTAAGCAGTAAGCCATTTTACATAAAGGATTTAAATATCCTTGAATTATGATTTCCTGGTGGGGAGAGTCCAATATCCTATGAAGTCCATGATTATTTTGCAAGGACTTCTAAAGAATTATGAGTTTGCTATATAGAATGAGAGTCTTTTAAGAATATGCTTTTTTGTGATATATGTGTGTGTGTGTGTGTGTGTGTGTGTGTGTGTGTTGTTTGTAGGAGTTTGTGTGACTGTGCAAAGAACGGGACCAGATAGGAGGACATCAGGTGTCTTGTGGTATCATGTTCCACCTTATTCCCTTGAGACAGGATCTCTTAGCTGAACCTTGAGTTAGGCTGGCAGCCAGCAAATCCCAGTGATCCTTCTGTCCCTGCTTCCTCCCACAGTGCTGGGGTTATAAAACATGACCATGCTTGGCTTTTAACATGGATGCTAGAGTTTGAATTCAGGACTTCATTTTTGCATACACAATAAATGTTCTTATCAACTGAGTGAGCTCCTTTAGTGCCCCATTCCTGTTTTCTGTCCTCAGCACCTTAGCCTAGTTTCTGGTGGTTTTGCCATGTGTTTGGTTTATAAATTATTATAGAAAAGCGTGTTTTAAAAAGCTGGAAGCATACTTAGGTTTGTGCTAGGGATGTTGAACATCTTCCGTGCGGTATATACCCTGGGCCTTTATATATGTGCATGCGTGAGTGAGATAGTGGAACTTGTACAACTGTGATAGACGGTACTTCTAGAAAATTCAGTTTTACTTGGAAAGGTTTCATGGAAGTCAGCAGTACCATCTGGCCAGTGATTCAGTACCCAGAATAGGAGCATGTCGGGAAGCCACCCGAGGCCTCTTTTTCTGGGACTCTAGGAAAAGATGTGAAAGTCTCAGAGGCGAGAAGGCGTGGTCAATAACTAAAGAGGAGTTCCTTTTCCTTTGGTAGACACTTACATGCTATGTTGGTGAAGGTCACTGATTAAACACAACTTCAGTAATTTATTGTTAATGGTCACATTTTCTCTGCAGAGACGTCTGAAACCATCATGGAGGTGGTAGAGGTGGAGAGTCCCCTGAATCCCAGCTGCAAGATAATGACCTTCAGACCTTCCATGGAGGAGTTCCGGGAGTTCAACAAATATCTCGCATACATGGAGTCTAAAGGAGCCCACCGAGCAGGTCTTGCAAAGGTGATTATACTCAGACTTGTCACTGAAAAGTATCATTTGACTTCTAAGTTATGGTCTTAGTTTTTGTTGTTGTTATTGTTGTTCATTTCTTTCAATGGAATGTGTCTGCTTGTTAATCCACCTGGAACACTTACGTTTCTTAAAGAATATTTATCTTACTTTTTGCATATTTTAATCTAGGCTATGTTCTGTGGTAGTTTCTTCTTCCTATCTTCCTCCTCCCACTCCTTCTTGTCTTTTTTTATTTTTTAAATCAAGGTTTCCAGAGGTTGTGAGTATATCAGTTTCCATCCATTTCTCATAGAAGGCATCTATTAACTTGAAGGTTAAGGTGATTCCCCCCTCTGTGTTCCTTTCCTTGCTTCTACTTTTTCTTTTTACCTGTTTTAGTCTATCTTGAATTACGGCCATCTTCTCACTTCAGCCTCCTGAATGCTGGGATGATAGGCCTTACCAACCATACCTGTCTCACTTTAAAACAACAATGACAAAAATTTGTGGGAGTATAACTTACGTGAGATACAGTGCCCTCATTTATAGTTTGTAATTCAATGTTTTTGTTTGTTTATTCACTTTAGTTGTGTAGTGGTCACCACTAATAAATTCTCTATCATCATCTCATATAGAAACTATATATTTTAAATAGTCATTTTCAGTTTCCTGGAATCACTGCCACCTTAGGCAATCACAGTCTGCATTCTTTATCAAGTAGCCTTTTGATGTATTTTTGAAAAAACTCAAATTGTATGTGGTGTGGGTGTATGGTGTGTGGGAGTGTGCATATGCCACAACCCATCGATGGAGGCCAGAGGACAACTTTAGAGTTGGCTTGCTACTTCTACTTTGATGTAGGTTCTAGGGATCAATCTTGATTGTCAGGCTTTTGTGTCACGTATGTTTACCACTGAGCTATATCTCCAAACCATAGCTATTTGTTTGTTCAAGTGTGAAGTACCTGTTATGTACCAGAATGTGTTGGTAGAGGGCATGCAGATAAAGTGGACCAAATCTTTGCTTCTGTGACGCTTCTATTTTAGAGATAAAATATTAGGGTGAAAGAATCCTGGCTGGGTACATGGCTCAGTAGGTAAAACATTTGCTATCCAAGTTGTGAGGACCTAAATTCAGTCCCCATAATCCAGTAGCATGTCTGTTGTAATCCCAACCCTCCAGTGGCAAATAAAGACAGGAACATCCTCAAGCTTGTGAGCCAGCTAGCCTGGCGTAGAAGGTGATAAAGAGACCCCATGTCCAAAGAGTTGGAGGTAGGAGTGAGGACATACACCCTAGACTGTCTTTTGACCTCTACTCATGCACTTGTGTGTGTAGGCTTGCCTCCCATAGAAGCTACAAAAGGCTTTGGATCACTTGACATGGTTAAAGGTATTATCAGCCACACAGTATGGGTCCTAGGATCTCAATTCTGATCATCATGATTGAGTAGCAAGTGCTCTTAGTGATCTATTTCTGTAGCTCACCCCTGTTGTTGGTTGTTGTCACTTTTTTTTCTTTTTGGCTCTTTTGGGGGCCCACCACCCAGCTACCAAATAGATACACACATGGAGTCTTATTCTGTCTTATAAGTGCCCAGCCTTAGCTTGGTTTATTGTTAGCCAGCCTTTCTTAACTTTAATTATCCCATCTACCTTTTGCCTCTGTGTAGATGTAACCAACCGTCTTATTAAATAAGAAACACAGAACCAGTGTAAAAGAGAAAGCCGAGTGGTCAGAGCTCAGAGCTAAAATCTTACTCTTCCTCCTGCGAGCTCCTAGCTTCCCAAAAGAGAGCTATTTCCTGTTTGTCCATATTTTCATAGTCTTTTGTTCTGCCTTCTCATTGGTTGTAAACCCAAACACATGACTGCCTCGTCACTGTCTGTATGTACAGCCCCTTAGGTCTTAAAGGCATATGTCTTCAAAGCTGGCTGTATCCCTAAACACACAGAGATCTATGGGATTAAAGGCGTGCGCCACCACCGCCACACTCTGTCTATGGCTCTAATAGCTCTGACCCCCGGGCAACTTTATTTATTAACATACAATTAAAATCATATTTCAGTACAATTAGAATACCTCCACATTTCCCCTTTTCTATTTTA